ATTAGCCGCTGCTTCTTTGGCAAGCCGCTCCTCTTCTGCTTTCTTGGCATTGGCCGCTGCTTCTTTGGCACCGGCTGCCTGCTCGGTCAAACGCTTCAGGCGCAAACAGTTGAATGCTTAAAGCCATGAAACGGTAGCACTTGTCTTGCAGGAGCAAATTTGAGACTGGAGCGACTAAAGCACAACACTTCCAGTTCAGTTTCTAGCTACACTTAGGTCCTGCGCTGGAGCTTCTCGTTTCTGCATACCTCGGACAAGGTCCCCTGGTTTAGGGCAGACTGTTCAAGGTAGACTTAAGTCCTGTTGGGTGAAGCAAAAAATGCCTTCTGGGGCCTTCTAGGGGCTGTCTTCGCTACTAGTAACAAGTGCATCGCTACTAGTAACAAGTGATATAGCAACTTAGCTTAGGTGCAACTGTGCAACTTGTGGCCTTTGCCTTTCCGCCCTCCGAGTCTCAGCTGCAGGCCCAGCAGCACCCAATTCATCTCTCCACCCGCTTCTCGTACGGAGTCAACGCAGGTATGTAACTGGCAACAGGAAACAGGGTCAGCGAATTGTATTCTCAACATGTCTCAAGGTGCACATTTGAGTTGCATGCTCTTTTAGTGCCTTTTTCCAAAAGATCATACAGAGCACTATAGAGGGAACTTTCACAGACAGCACAACAAAAAGCCTCCGCCCAAGCAGCGGCCAGTGCAACGTAAAGTTTGCAGTACAACGGAAAAGCGGGTCAGAATCCTAATACGAGCCCTCCTAGAATCATTGAACCATGCATCTACACTTTCACAACCAGTTGTTTAATTATTCGGCTTCATGCTTTTGCCTTTCTGAGAAGACCCTCCCTGCAATGATGAGGCTGCGCACGTCGGTACACATCCGCGAGGCGCTGTCACTGCCAAACTCCTGCCGCTGCCATGCACATGCGAAATGATGGTGATGGAGTGTGGTCTTTGTTTGTTGAAGGCATCACGGAGAGATCATGGAGACAATTTCCTGTGAAAGGCCGTACCAAACATTGAACATTCTGCTCCACCACTCCGAGTTGGGAACATGAGGGCAGGATTACAAGGCCTTCAAAGTCATTCAAAGCGTCAGCATTTCAAACCAGTTTCATGGATGGTGCAAAGTTGGTCCTCCAGCTCTGCTTCCAGCTGCTTCTGCTGTTCCAAGGCTAGAGAAGCCATGTACTCCTGTCTGCAGTTCTCTCACAAGTCTTTGCTTTGGCAATCTGTGGCCCGAGAATGAACTGCTCAGCACTGTAAGGGCAACTGAAAGAGAGCTGATAGGAGCCCCATATCCAACAGTGTCGAGAGCCCGTCCTCCTGGATACTTTTCATATTAACATTGACCAGCATTCATCGGCATGTCAACTCATGCTTCGGCTTGAAGTTCAAACGCGTGATGAATCCGGGTAAACTTAAAGTGTGACTCTTGCTTCCTCAGGTCGATTTAATTTGTCAGCATGACACACATTGACAAATCATCGTAGCCAGGGTTATGACTCCTCCACCGAGATCTGGCTTTTACCCGCATCAGTGATTGCACCATCCACCACAGCCAAGCCTCAACGTGCGAAGCGGCTTGGATGGCTCAGCAAAAAGCTGTTACACCGAAGCCAGCTTTCTCATGCAATGTCAGACTGCGAACCAGAAAATCATCCGCATCTGCATCTTGATGCAGTGAGAAAATGTGCATTGGGCGCTGACGCCAAAGCTCGGAGATCAAGTCTGCAAGGTCCAAGTCATCCAAACTATGTGCCTCCACGTCCGACAGATTATTTAAGTATATATATACATGAAGACAACATGAAGACACAAACGAATACTGGAAGTACAAAACTTGTTTGTCAAAAGTGCGTTCCCAATTTAGTTCTTAACTTGTAGAATGGCAAGTTGCGTACAGAATAAGACCACATTGAGCTAAGTCACAACTTCACCCTCTCGGCATCTGCACACTGCTACAGAACCTAGAGATACCTAGAGTATCTCTTACGCACATCAAGCAAAATAAACAAAGTCAAACAAGTCATGAAAGCATCTCAACAAACGTACTCACCCAAAGAAGCATGGCCGTGGGAAAACAAATGAATAGGCTTGTGCCTCACGGCGGAAAGTGATGCTGCAGATTGCGCGGACCTGGCTCCAGGAATCTGTCAATTAAAGCACACTTGCTGCGAGCTCGCAGAAATGTACTTGATAGGCTCAACTCTGGCTGCACACACACACACACATTCGTGTGTGTAACGATCTGATTCCGCCCAGCCCTGAAATCTTGGTGGAAGAAACACTTATATGAGTAAAACATGCAACGAGGTCAACGCGTCCTCAAAGGTTGACCATCGAAGTTACAAAATTCAATTCAAGAGAACTCCAAGTTCCCCCAGTTCCAACGAAACACGAAACCAAATCGAGCGCTCGCATTTGCACACTTGAATCATCCTGCAAGTACCTGAAGACCTTTACAAGAGGAAGGTGGCTAGAACGCTCACAAACGTAGCAGGTACAAGGGAGTGATCAGCTTCGTCCTAGGGGCACCTTCTCATCCCAAAGGTTACACACATACACACCAAGCTTTGCGGGCCCGGGTCCACAACCGTACATCCATCACGCATTGTCCATTGTAGTCTTGCAGCTTGACCGCCGATACACCCCGCCTGCGCATCCGCTTGCTGCTGCTTTGCATTCCATTTTCCACGCCTGCCAAACATATTGCGACGCTCTAGCCGCTCAAAAGATCCCCGTGGAACCACTGTTTCTCGAGTTTGCTTCCACATTTTTTTTTGTTTATTCCTTTCCCGTGCACAAAAGAACTAGTGTGTGAATAGTGGGCGAATGACCAGCCGAGCCTGACAGCAGACACGTTTGGCCCGACCTGATTGATGATACAATCCACTCAGGTTCACTCGCACATGTGCCACTTACATGTGCTCATTCCACAAGTATAACTTGTTCTTGTTCTTCTTTAATGTTATTTCTGCATTCAGTAGAATGTTTGTGCCACACTAGTGAAAATTAAAATCAGCCTCAGAACCTAACCCAGTGCACGAAAATATACCTCGGTTGTGAATAAATCGGTCAAGCAAGGAGGGGAGGCATTCATTTGTACTGGACTGCATCTGCGCACTTCACAACCTTTGGCGAAGCCGTCATGCCCTCCACAGAACTGGCAGTCTCGCGGCCAAAGGTGAAACCTGGCAGTTTCCCAGCAGCAGGTTTCAGACCAAAGAGAGTTCTACAATTGCAAGGTGTCACTTCAGACCAAAAACATCCAAAGACCTTCTACATCGAATGGTTCGCGAATGCTTCGCAAATGGTTCAAGTAAAGCAAGTGTGGCGGATCACGCCAAAAAGGACCAAGTCTTCGGCCAGCCAGACCTTCATCCTGCCCAACACAAACGCACTCTTCCCGCAGGCCCGGCCAAGAAAGGGCATTCATGTTGCAAGCATTCTTGTCTCAGCTGGTTAAGTCCAAGATCTAAATCAAGCCTTAATAGTGAGGGATGTGAGAGGTAGTTGAAAGAAAACAGACGACGTGTGTGTGTGTGTGTCCACCTCTGTAACTAAGAGTTTCTGTTTTTCTCAACGTTTAAGTCCCAGGGGGCATGACGGTCGACTTCTTAGTCACGCCAACGAAGCTAGGGAAATCGGCTGGATGGAAGTTTGGACGCAAACTTCTGTACCTGCGCGGATGAAAACTTTTGCACACGCTGTGACTCCGCTTTTTCCTTCTGTTGTTTCCATAGTGGTTGTTCGCATGATATCCCCCAAAATAGGTTTCCTTAGCTTTGGTAAAGTGCTAGTGCGTTTGTTAAGCAGTTCTGTTCTTCGGACCCTTGCACCTTACCGCAGTAACTAGATTCCGCAGTCAAGTGAACAACTCCTTTGTTAAAACACATTGGACTGCTTCGGGAATTGAGTTAATGCCAAACCAATGTCAGAGTGTGACTCGCTCAGTCGTCCCACTTGGGTGCTGGGTGTGATCCTCCGCAAGGAGGCGCTGTTTTCATTCCGGAAATCGTGTAACTGACTCCACCGTTCTCCACCTCTCTTTGGATTTTCTTAACCGCTTTAGTTTCACTACTGGATTTACTGAATTTGATGCCGTCGGGCTTACGAAATACCTCCACTTGCATCTCCACTTGCATTTCCATGTGCTGCATTTCCATGTGAGGAATTGAGACCAGTGAAGCTACTGTCCACACTTGCACTTCCACACAACCCCCCCCACTTTGCAACCTAATTCGTGTTTCTATCCCACCCGCTATTAGGGTAACAGAAGGAAATGGTACTCGACGCACTTGTGTGTCGGTACCTTTTCTTCTGTTTCTCCTATTCTACTCCTAGCTACCCGGGCGGTTTAAGACGTATGTCCCGCTCGCTAATTAACTACTGCATTTAATTCATTCGGCTAAGTAGTCAGTAACTAGCAGGTTTCGTAACTAGTGGGCCTTGTCACTACACCTATCTTTCTCTCTTTCCTTTGCGTTTTCCTTTCTGTCTTTCTTTCCTTTCGTTCTAAGGCCTTTTAGGTGATTAGTAAGTTCCCCCAGAGCGCCGATATCGGCGTTCTGTGTGTGTCCACCTCTGTAACTAAGAGTTTCTGTTTTTCTCAACTTTTAAGTCGCAGGGGGCGTGACGGTCGATTTCCTAGTCACGCCAACGAAGCTAGGGAAATCGGCTGGATGGAAGTTTGGACGCAAACTTCTGTACCTGCGCGGATGAAAACTTTTGCACACGCTGTGACTCCGCTTTTTCCTTCTGTTGTTTCCATAGTGGTTGTTCGCATGATATCCCCCAAAATAGGTTTCCTTAGCTTTGGTAAAGTGCTAGTTCGTTTGTTAAGCAGTTCTGTTCTTCGGACCCTTGCACCTTACCGTTCTTGCAGTAAAGGGCTAATGCAGTAACTAGATTCCGCAGTCAAGTGAACAACTCCTTTGTTAAAACACCTTCAAGTGCTCCGACTCTTTCATCTTTCGGTTCCATCGCCATTTTTCCTGGGAATTGAGTTAACTGCAAACCAATGTCAGAGTGTGTGCGTTCTTTTTCACAACAAAAAACACACACATGCAAACCTCAGTCTCAGTGGCGACAAAACACGTCTTGAACCCGGATTGCCGATTCTCTTCTGATGAGCCCCTAGGCTTTAGCCAAAACATTCTTTGCAACATTTGCAAGACCTCGCTTTGCCTCATGTATTGTGGAAAGCAGCCCAATCATGCATACACCACTGCATTTCCTGCGTTCCAATGCTTCTTCATCTGCAATCGACACTGCCCATGGCATTCAACACGTTCAACAGAGTCATCTAACAAGCTGAATACACTGATGAACATGAGTAGTACAGGTACTATAGTAGTTATTATAGTTCTAGAAGACGTTTTGTTGGATAAGGCCTTCATCGAACACGGTCGACGACGTTGGTGACACATGACACGCACGCCGTCGCTCTGAGGACTCTGGCTCCAAGAGGCCGCCATAGCCCGCATTGTGGAGCTCAAACTTCTCCGGTTCCAAAAGAACCCAGTTATATGGCCTGACATGGCTGTCACACTTGGCAAAGCTGAACACCCTTTCCCAGGAAACCCAGTTCTTGCGATGTCATAATGCTACGCCAATGTTCAAAAGTGGATCTGTTCTTCGCTTGCGCAAGTTTGTCGAGGTAAAGCTCGTCCAAATGCGAAGGCTTCTGCGAAGGCACCCGGTCGCATCACCAACTGCAGCAAGTGCACGGTCTACGGAGATCTGCTTCTGGTTCTCCTCATCGCAAAAAAAGCGCCATGTAAACATAAGTAAACACCCTGCAAGAGAACTAGCAAGTCTTGCAAAAATAGCAACATCGCAGATCCGTTCCTAAGAATTGCAGGATGTTTCTTGAGTATGTGGACTCAAAGACTTGCTGCTAGTCAGAACAGTGGCACCTCACAAAGGATCCCCACAATCACCCAGTGCAGCCTAGATCGAATGCAGTATGAGCCAAGCTTAGGAGTTTGACATTTCAGACTAGCTCGCATTTCAAAGAACTTTCTTTGCTGAAGCATTCAACGCTCATCAACAGGATCCCACGGCGCCCACACGCCTTTGCTGTTCTTGGGCCTACGCTCTTTTGGCTTGTTGCCTTGTGAAGTGTAGATGCTTGGATCTCCAAGAGACTAGAAATGCATCAGTCAAGCTCCCTGATCTTATGTGCAGAACTTTGGAGATAGGGTCTTAACTGTGAGGAAAAGGTGAGAGAAATCTGCCAAAGCACCCAAAACTGATTCATTGTGCGCAGATGTAGTAGGGACAATGAATACATAGGAAAAGGTACAGTATTGCAGTTTTAAAACACCAACAGTAAATCGTGGAATCTAGTTGGGTTTGGAGGGAAAGCTGGAAAAGCGTGTGGCAAAAGGAAAGATTGCGGGCGCAAGAAAAACCGTGCTTTCCTTTGAAAGGGGCAGCCGCAGTGAAAAAGATGTTGGAAGTCAAGAGAAACAGGGATTCGAGAGATTCCAGAAACATGAATGGATAATGGACTGATTCAGGAATTTGAAGAGCCTCACAGGAAAAACGACCAGAACAGGTTGAGGCACCCAACAAATGTTCGCGAAACCAGTGCAGTGCGGCTTCAGGAAAAATCCAAGGAATCCACAAAACATTAGGACACCCACACCCACACCCACACCCACGACTCAAGCCCCAAGAAGACTTGGCCACAACTACCCGTTCATGCTACCACCACACATGCGTGCGCTGTAACAGAGATTCTGGAATCCTAGGAAAGTTCGTCGGGGACCCTAAGGAAAATTGGGAAATGCAAGGACAAGTTCAGGCACCCTAAGAAACATTATGCCTATATTGTATTGTATTATATAGGTCTATATGCTACAGTAGGAAACACCTTGGACACCTAGTAAATTCGGCAAACGAAATAGGAAACAGGAAATACAGTAGTATATAAAGTCGGAACCCTGAGAGACATGATTCGTGTCTTTGATTTCAGAGGAGGGGAAACCTTCCTTGTCCGGTCTGTTCGCCAGTTCAAGTCAATTTTCACGTCTGACTTTTCAGCTCATGTGGATCCTCTGTATCGAGCAGGAGGTGACAAGAGATCAGAGATTGGAGAGTCAGAGCTGTAGTCTTCTCCAAGCCAAAGCTTTGCAACAAAATGCATTGCAAAGTGAGGACACCGTGTGTTACATATGCCGGGCCGCGCTCTTTGGCTTCTTGGCCCAGGAGGGCTGCAGGCAGGGCCTGCTGCGGCCTGGAGTCCGCCTCCTCCGGTCTCCAAAGAGTGCTGGTGCGGCATCAGACGTTTCATATCGAAGAAGAGATGCGGCACCCAAAAGATGACGACTTGATTTATCTTGACTTTCTCGACTTCCAACATCTTCGACTCGTACACATCGTAGTCTTGCATGACTCCTTCTGATGCTCTTGTTGAATCCTTGGCGGCCACGGGCCACAGATGGCCACAGCTCATCCAACCGAGTTCTCCCCTACAGGAAGAGAATCAGTCCGCAAAAAACACACGAGAAAGACACATCAGTTGTAACATTATATAATTATATATATATGTACATTACGGATACCATTGTTATTATTGCTAGTACTATGACTATTACTTATTTTTTTTCTCTCAGTGGCATGCGTATTTCCTTGTTTTGGTGTCTTAGAGTTGTTTGTTGGTGTAAAATTTGGTTGTTGTTGTCTGCAAAACCACCTTAACTTATCAATAGTGCGGTTCCCGGTGTGGAACAAAAACGGAATATCGAGCTTCACTTCCATAGAGGCCACAAACAGTACATGTCAGGCTCTGTATAATTATAATTCTATGATGCCTAGACACTTCACCGCCCAACCGATTAGTTTGCCTTCCTCAGCTTGCGCTCGGCAATAAGGGCTTCGTAGTCTTTCCGCAAAGCCTCCAGCAACTCAAATGTTCACGCCATACTCCATGCAAATTGGACAAGAAACATGACAAAATCATACAAGTGTGGAATCCGTGCGTACAGGACAACGCTCACCTGGAATTTGCATTGCAACACGGCAAGTCATCAGAGTGAACATATGTGACTATTGCTGGTAGGTTGGAGGCCATCGCTACTAGGGTGGAGGCCATTGCTGTTAGGTTGGAGGTCACTGTATCGTCAGGTGTCCGTCCTCGCCTCGGCAGACATGGACTTCTCCATGACATCTGCAGTGAGAACCTTGCTCCCACCAAACTTGATAAGTCGAGACAAAGCAAACAGAACAAAACAACAAACGATGGTTGCATGGGCAAAATCAACTTGACATTGTCCTATTTATCTATCCACTACTGCAGACCTTACCTGGCAGCAAACGTGATGCGGATCACAGACTTGACAATCTTTTTCCCCTGTTGGAAAAGCTTCTGGTTGTTGCAAACAAAGTTTATCTTTTCTCTGGCACCTTCATCAGCCGCTCACACATAAAATCCAGGTGAAGGTCCTGAGAACATTGAGAAGAGATGCCGACTTTCAACATGGCAAGTCTTGTGCGAATATCTGAGAATCGCATGTTAACTGAAAGGTATATAAGTTTAGGTTTTCTCTGGAAAACACAGCGGAATCTGTCATAGTTACAATATGTTACAATGCCCTTCCAAACCCTTGATCAAAACGGCATCGCTGTCCTCTTTGCGTTTCACCTCCAGGGTAGCATGTGCCTGGCAAAGTCTTTGCTACTTGTTCTGGGCCTTGTCGATGCTGACTCTCATTGGGGATTTCCTGAAGCCTATTTTTAACTCCAAGTGCCTGCTGAGTGCAGGCACAGTGTTGTGTCGTTGGCCTCAACCTTTTGATCATCTTTGAGCTGAACGTCTTCAAACGTCTTCTTAGAAATGGAATAAGAACACGAGTTGATCATCTCACCGGTGCGCACCTTGCCCAGCATAGCCAAGACCTCTCCGCTACGGGCGTTGAGGCGACCACGGCGCACGGCGGGAACCTCTTCTCCATTGAAGTGGATAGCCACCTGGTGAAGGAAATCGAAGGAATCTTTCCCAAGTGAGATGAACATGAACACATGTCAGATTCACATATATTATGCATTGGCAAGATGAGAACAGAGTTGAACAAGAAAATCAAGCACAGCCAACTTGTCTATCGAATGGTTCCTTGTACACGCTTGAAACAAGCAACATCAAACCAGCAAGAGCAAGTGCGACTCCCAGGGCACCAGCTTCGACCGCACAAAGGTACCCGAGCCCACTTCCCAACGTAGAAGTGCCCAGGCGACCGTGTCGTCCTTCACTCAAATCTAGTTTCCATGAAAATCCATGGAACAGGATTGCATTGTCATTATTGTTCCATATTGTTCCCTTATCCTGTTAGATTCCAAAATTCTTGCAACCATGAATGACTCCACCTCTACTGTTGGAAAATCATGGACTTCCTCCGCTGAGTAACTCTGGCACGTTCTGCTTCTTGCCTGACTAATATCAAAGCATACCAAAGTGACTATTGGCACCATAGAGGTACTTGCTGTTGCAGGGCCTGATGAAGTGACTTTTGACGGCTTTGATCGAAAGGATTCAATGTGAAGGTCGAAGATTCATCATGATTCTTTCTGAGCTCATTAGATTGTTGATATTTGTGGACCGAAAACCCCATTTCATGTTTATTTTGGTGGAACAGCTGCTCTCATTGATTTTCTCACCTGCTCCTTAGACCTGACAATTTTCTCGTTCTTTCAACACCGGGCGTGTCAGCTTGTCCGCCAAGTGCTCGCAAAGCTCTTCGACGCCCCCTGGATCGAGCGGGGATATTATATTTCCATTGAACCAATCCTTCACCCTCTCTCTCTCACATCTAAATTTGCAAACGCAAATTGATTCATCCGTATGTTTGCAAGTCAAAGGTGGCAGTGCCGAAAAAGCAACTTGAGATCCACTTTACTGAAAGGGACTCCATTCGGTACCTGTTCCAGCCGCAAGGAGTGAGGCTTCTGCCGAACTCACACTACCTCCACGTCTGCCCGCCATCAATGGCTGGGAGGTTTGTGGAGGCTAGTAGAGGCTGGTAGTGGTAGAGGCTAAAGGAGAAGACCTGCACTGGACCTGCACAACCTCAAATCAACGTCGGAAATGACCATTAGGGCTAGTCGTGCTACTATCCGGAATCCGGCCTTGTACTGTAGTAGTGTGTTCTTTTGAATTGAACCAAAGAATGCCGAGTGTGTGAATGTAATGGAGCCTAGACGTTGGCATCCACCATGCGCATGGTTTGCATCGCTTAGCAAAATACGCCACTTGATCATTCGCCCTCTGACAGCGCGATTGGATTGTGCTTTTTTGACAGCATCGCCAGGGCAAACATTGACTTAAGACACCCAGGACCCACCCTGACTACAGAGATTGGTCGAAGTGCTACTGTAATTGGACAACTGTTTGTTTTTTTAGCTGGGAGACTTGAGACTACCGTCTGAGTCTAGGGTATGTGACATGCTCCAACGAGGGTCTTTCAATTTTGAAAGCGGCCTCTATGGACTCTAAGGGCTCTCAAAGAAGCCGAAAATTCCTCGCCACACTGGGTGGGAAGCGCAGGAAAGAGTTACAATCAGTGGAAGGCCAGGAAAACTATGTACAATCCAGTGAGATGGAGGCAGCTGGGGCATGCAGCTGCGAAGCGCAAATGCGGCTTCTATGCCACTTCTGTCAGGCCAATGGGACTCGATGGGCGATTGCCCATCCTCCGTCAGTCTGTATAGGAGATCAGACCTTGCGAAATGATACGAGCTATAGATGATCTTGCCACTCTGCAGCCAAAGGAAGAATGCTTGATCCAGATTGTCTCTGCGACTTTGGAATCTTCTGAGTAAGGAAGGACACGTCATGTAACATTGAAGGCTGTGCTTGCAGGCCTTCAATGTCCGAGTGAATCAATTAGATTGTTGGCCTGTACTATATGACCAGATTGCTCTATTTACTACATACTTTCAAACAATGTGCATCCGCCTCCGGGTGTCACAGTTCCCCCATCAGCTCGTGTCACGGTTGCTGTACCTGCAGCGTGTGCGCCAAATCCTCTCAATCCGAATGAACCATGCGCCCTCTACTCTGCAGCTGCCTAGCGATGGAACATTAGTTTTCCACGGCCAATGTCAGCAAACTGTTGCACCCCAAAAAGTGGACATTTGAGTTGAGTGCAAAACCATCAAACACCCCAAACTCAATTCCTGTACTAAGGTCGTACGCATCTGCAGAGTTGACGGTGGCCTTGACAAAACAGGGCAATATAATACAATCGAAATCGAACAAAGGGTGCCAATGTGTGCAAATCGGGTGATTAACTTTTCTTTACTATTCCAACAAACTGACTATTCAAGTCAAAAAGGGCCTAGGAAATTAAGCCCCTGTAGAATTGAGCGAGCACTGGAATACTACAAAAACAAGTGTGAGTGTATTATAGTTTAACACAGGTTCAATTGACACTTCCAGCGCGGGATGTGTCTCTCGATGTTGGCTCTGGAACGAATTCCTGCGGCATTGCAGAAGTTGACCCTTTTTCTTGCGATGTAGACATTATACACAGGATCAGCCAGGAATGTGCTTCTCCCAGTCCAAAGGAGGTGAGAGGAAGTTCGGACTGCTAAGAGATGCAACACCTGGAAACACGTTTGAATGGCTTCCCGCACCCTGTTGACAAACATATTATCTCACTGAAATTGATTTCTACAGTAAAAACGTGCCGTGTGGTCTTCAATTCTCTTCACTCCTACGAGTAAGTCAAGAAGTTTGCACTGTGTGTGTGTTGATCACTGAGGCACAGGCTGTGGTGCTAAAGAAGCCGTTGCATTGGTGTAGACCTTGTTTTTCCGTGGAGAGACTGTCAAGAAGGCCAAAAACTACTCTTGCAACAAAGAATGCTGAAGCAGTCTGCTCCTTCATCTCAGACGTAGACACGATGCAAATGTTCATAAGATTGTTTATGCAGGGGCTCAAAAAACGGATTCGAGATATGACAAGTGAAACCTTGAAGACCCACTATGTCGAGCAGGCATGAACTTGCATCACTGGCCATAAATGTCAAGCCCAATGTCTTAGACATTGACATTTTAGATTTTTAGACGAAGCCTCAGCAGGCTGAGAGTGGGACAGTCATGCCTGAAGGCACCCTGCACCAGTTAGGGAAGAGCGGTTGTATGGGGCACTTGAGAAAAGATCTTCAGGGGACTTAAAGTCTGTGGAAAACACTTAGAGAACTCGGGTTTGATGTTCAAGATCTCTCGTGGGGATTTATAGTGGCTCTGAGAGCTCAGGCGCAAAATCAAAACCTTTCAATGTTTCGGCTTAGTGATGCTGCACAACCTGGAATCACTAATTCACACTCCGTACTGGGCAAGGCCTATGATGTATTTATGTGCCGATGGGCCACAGGCTGATAATTCTTGATGTCGTAGTTCACCGGGTCAGTGAGTTGCGAACACACCCCAGAATTACTGCGAATTCCATGAGCTAAAGGCCCCTTGCACCACTCAAGCTTCCCTTGCAGGTTTACTGTGCTAGCTCAAGCCCCTGCAGGG